TTCCAAAGCTATAAATCTTTATGGTAGCTGAAATCCTCCTGTCTGCAAGGAACTGCTGGTGGATCTGGACTGCAGACCTTGTGGTAAACAGTCCACTGCTGATCCTATAAAACTACCAGGGCTCCTTGTAACATAGAGAACCCAGGAGTTAAAGATTGATTTTAAATAAGATCTGTTTCAGCCAGAAGTCTTTTGAAATATAAAGGTTTTAGGAAGACTGAGAGTTATCACTTAGGTATGAGAAGCTAGCCAGTTCAGTTATACTTGATTAGAGAACTGTACACAGCTATTCATGATAGTAGTAAATTGGGTGGGGAATGAGGCAAATTTTTACCATATTCTTCCTAAATGGTTTGCATTCTGATCAGTTTGGTTAATTATGAGCACATTGAAAACAATTGTTTACATCTTGACACAATTGACCTAAATTGTTTGTATTCTGACCTTTTGTTTCTTGAGAATGTGTGTTGTCCCCAACACTCTTAGTGTGACATGAGCTCCTCCAGTTTGAAACATTTTTTTCTGTTTATAGTTTGACCCTCTGGTGTTTTGGGTTAACAACTATACCAACAGGGCTACTTACAAAACAAACAAAAATTTGAAACACTTTGCTATCCTGTTGCTATGCAATGATGCCATCTCATAGAGACCTACAACCCTTTAGTCAAAGTGGAACTGCCTCATAGGATTTTCAAGGAGTCCTGGTGTGACACTGTGGGTTAATGTGCTGGAATACACGGTTGATCTGAACCTCAAGGTCGGTAGTTTAAGCTCACTAATGACTCCTCAGAATCAACTTGATGGCACTTAAGGACACAACAACATTTTACCGAAGCCGATTTCTGTATCTTTTTCCTACAGAGCAATGGGTGGTTTGAAATGTCAAGCTAAGTTACCAGCTGAGTGTTTAACCACTGTACCATACTGAACCTATATTGATTGAGGAGATAACTTCGCCAGAGTAAATTATGAAGTAACTTGAAGGGCATAGTACATGATATACAAAAAAGTACAGTAAAATTTGGCCTGGTGCACTGAGGCTTAACCTCATATCTATTCAAGAACACGTTATTTTCTCAGGGTTCTTTAATAACTATATTGTTGTTATTGTTAAGTAGCATCGAGTCAGTTCTGACTCACAGCGACCCTGTATAGGGTTTCCAAGGAGTGGCTGGTGGGTTTGAAGCACCGACATTGCAGTTTCAACTGACATTGCAGTCCAGCACATTACCCTGAAACGCCACACCAGGACTCCTTTATAACTATATAGAATACCATTACGACTCTTTGCTGAAATGAACTCTTGTAGCACATTTTCTAGAAATTTTATCTCAAATTTCTTATTTTCACACTATTTGGAATCATATTCCTTCCACCACTGCAAGATTACCTATTTATTTATGTTGCTATTAAGTGCCGTCGAGTTGGTTCTGACCCAGTGACCCTGTAAAGGGTTTCCGAGAAGCAGTTGGTGAGTTTGAACTACCAACCTTATGGTTAAAACCACCAGTGGCCAAGAGCTTATCCTACAGCACCTTATCCTACAGAGCCACAACTAAACTGAATAGAAAGTAATTATTCTTCATTCATCTTATATGAATATGTATTTCAACTAAGATTACCTGTTTTCAGGATTATGTTTCCATGTATGTGTTATGTTTCCATATCATATTTCATTGAATATTTAAAAAAATATTAAATGGAATTATTTTAAAAATTTAGGGATTACATACCATATGATTCTATTTATACAGCATTTTCAAATGACAAAATTCTAAAAATGGAGAACAGATTCATGGTGGCCAGCAATTTGAGATACAGATGGATGAAGGGTTGAAGAAAGGTAGACAGGGTTATAAAAAGTCAACAAGAGGGATCCTTTGGATGTTGTGCATTGGTCCTTTCTCTATACAGAATAATATCAAATGTATTTCTGTAATTTGCTTATTTCACTGAACAATATAATGTAAGACATACACAACAGCAGCTGCTTTTGGGAGATGGGGCTGGGAGGAAGGAGCAGGAAGGGGAAGGCACATGTGAACACTTTCACACACTCTACTTTACATCATTTGCATGTTTTTGACTCTAGAGTTTGGACCTAGCAAAGAAATAAAAGCACATACTAGAAAAGGCCACTCTAAAATTGTGCACAGGAAAATACCCAACTGTCATAAATGTGTACATTAAAAAATGCCCACACAGAAAAACATACACATAGAAGATTTCTCAAACAAAAGTATTATTAGGATTTGGGTTTGGGTTTGACTTAGAGTTCATTACTTTACAATACTGTGAATATGAGAATTTTTCTATGTGAGTATTTTTCTGTGTGGACAATTTTCCTGGTGAGAAATTTTCTGAGTGGGCATTTTTCCTCGTGGACCTTTTTCCTGTGTATGCATTATTCCATGTGCATATTTTCCCATACTTTTCTTGTGCTCATTTATTATAACAGTGGGATTTTCATCTATGTGAAATTTTCATGTGGGCTTTTTTTCTTTTGTTTTATTTTCATATAACCATATTTCAAATTATAAACCAAATAAAGTTACTGAAATAAAAACTATATTTGAAAAATTAAAAACAGCTTTTTAGGGGAAGGTAGAATCCCCACTGAATAGTTTTCATCTTGTCTAGATGTGTCTGTTGAAAGGAGATGGGGATAAGATTCTTATGATTCAAGTGAAAAATTGTTATCATGACTAATTAAGACTGTGACAACTGTAAAGGTAGAAGTTTTGTAACAAAAAGGAGGGAGTAGTTACTCTTACAGTCCAGGAACAGAGGACCTAAGGACCATCAAGGGAGAGGAGTACCAGCAGAATGTGGGACCCTATCCAGAGAAGCAGCCACACCAGAGATGGAGGCAGAGATAAGGACATGGAAAGACAGAGCAGCTAAAGACTCTAGACACATGTAAAGAGAAATTCTGTCTGTTGGCAGCCAGGAGACAGGCTTGCAGAATGTGCCCTTTGGTTATTTAAATAATTGTATATTTCTGAGTGTTTGTGTACACCCACCCCCTCTAAAAAAAAAAAAAAAAAACAGAAAAAATAGAAGCAAATACTGTTGAATGATGATGCACGGAGGATATTGTAATCATTGCAATGAAACAATGAGTGTAAAACCAATGTTCTCCCATGTAAACTATTACTCAATTCACAACAAAAATTTTAAATAAAAAATAGCTCTTAATAATCAATAGCCAAAAGTAAAATCACAATGGTAAAACTTAGAACTCATGGCAGATAACTACAATGGTCCTGAGAAGCAAAATATGCAAAGACACAGGGAGGAACGTGGAGGCTAAATGGGATAGAGGTAAATAGTAATATCCACAAAACCTTGGAACAACAGTGCTCTGTGCATAGATACATGGATTGAGACATAAGCTGAATGGGTAAAGGAGGAAGAGTGAGATATATATATTCATATATCCCACAAATATATGAGTTTGAAAGACATATTTGTCCATGAGCATTTACCTTTCATGTAAACACAACTAAGAATGTGGTGGAGCACACAGCAGACAAAATGATGAAAAATTCCTAGATATTATCAAGCATCTTAAGGAAATGAATTGCTAGACCTGGGGGCTCAGGACCATAGGTTCATGTGACTTCATGGTCAACTGGCATAACACAGTCCACAAACAAAATGTTCTACATCCTGCTTATGTGAGTAGCATCTGGGATCTTGAAAGTTCATGAGGGCCGTCTAAAGTGCAGCTATTGACCTCTTCATGTACAGAAGAAAGAAGAGTTATAAGAATTAAAGAGCTGTGGAATCCATTAATCCAATGGACTAATGGAATATGTGAACATCAATCTTCACAACTCTGAG